TGGATGTAACTGAAGATCATTATATTGAAAAACACAGTAATCCAAACTCACAAAACACAAATACTGTGTTTTATCTCAGACTTGTATCTACATTTTAAAATGACCTTTAACGTCTTAAACATAGATAACCTTTGTAATATCAGCTTCATTTTTATGATCTCATTCAAAATTCCAAAGGTTTACCCAAATTCTATGCTGCTCTCTAAATGCCTGGTAGTCCAAGACGGCAGAAGGTAGACAGAGGGAGCTGGGAAGCTATTGATTGAACAGTACCTCAGGACCTTGAATCATGGGAGGTAAGGGAAGAGGAAGAAGAAGAGGAGAAAGAGCAGGATTTGAAGAAAGAAAGCAAATGCTGCTGGGTATCCCAAACCTGCATAGAAGGAAATTGGTCTGACTATTTCACGTGTGCAGTTGGTCATGACTATATAATTCTTTGCTTACTGAACACTCTTACACAGATTATCACATCTGTGTTCTCTATGTTAACTGACCCTGAGTTACTTTTATTAAGTGAGTGCATTGCATTGAGGAAGCAGTCTGGCCAACTGAACTGTTGCATGCACAGAGAGCTTACTGTTTGCTTCGTAATGTTTAAAATTCATGTTGAGTACAGTTTTTTAACAGGAGGAACATTGTTTGAGAAGGGGATATGTATTGGCTTTGGCTTGTTTATTCTTTACCTGTCACTGTCAGCCCAGAGAGAGTAAACATACAGTACAGTAAACAAGTCTATGGTCTATGAAGTATGAGAAATGTGAATTTTACTTGTCTGTGTACTCTTTATACATCCCATTCCCTAAAGGAAAGGGGAACTGAAAGAAGGGGTTATGGGTCATTCATGATACACTTCCTCTGGGAACTCTTTGCTGGTCCAACATACATCTTGGTCCAGTGCCCTGAAGCAGACATTTAGCAAATAACACCATAACTAAAGTAACATGTAGAAATAAGGCCAGCTAACTCGGTGTACTCCTCCAGATTTAGCCTGCCTATAGATCCTACTGGTCCTCTCTTCTCACTTAAAGTCCATGTGGAAGATGAGAGAGAACACCTATTTCCTAAAGGAAAAGTACTAGCTGTATTTCACTAGCAAATTGCCCTGTCTGATAACATTGAGCTGTAAGGACAATGTATCTGAGAGCTAACCTAATTTCAGAGGAGTTGACTCTGTAGCCATATAACTTTTACTCCTGTAGTAATAAGATGAATACTTGCTGGTAAAGACGGGAAATGAACAGACTACAATCAAATTCATTAACCTGCTACATATTATTGATCTGCTTAGGATAGACAGGGTTTGGTGGGTGAGCAATAGAAAAGGTCATGGTTTGGTAGAATCTGTTGGTCTCTTTCAATCACACATGTAATTCTTCTACTCTTCCATAGAGTGATATGTCTGTACTTCACAAAATTCAAAAAACATACTAATTATGAGTATAAATTATATTATATTATTTTAATTAAATTATTTTTTATTTTAATAATTAAATTATATTTTACTTATCATTTTCAATTAAATTATCAATTTCATTTTTTTATACATAAAACACATCATTGTGGGGAAGGACTGTAATCATGTAAATGCAAAACTTAATACAAGCACATTATAGAAGTTGGCACTTAATAGAAAATATCAACTCAGAATAAGTAAGACTTTGGGGATTTTATAGTCTCTGGCCTGATTCAGCAGTAGGCATGCTCTATTTGCCTATCTTTGTACTTCTAGATGTCTACTATTATAACCATATTATTTTTCTTTAGTCCTAAACATATCTGATCTTCCTACAAAAAAAGAGTCCAATAGACCACATGCCCTATATGCTACATGCACAAGGCTGTTCTAAACAGTGCATGAAACAGTCCTCTCCTTCCCAGGGAGGAGAATTTATACTGCTACTTGCTTTTAATGGATCTACAAGGCAGACTCAAGCAGGGCCTGCTGAGAACAGCCTGATGAGTGATCATCAGTGATTTGGCGCTCAGCAGCTGCCTGCTGACAATGGCAGCTTGTTCCCGCTCAGCTCTAAGTCACTAAACTCTCATGGTCCCAAAGGGGAAACACTGAAAGAAATTATAAAAGGGAACACAGGGAACAGAGGAAAAGAACATACAGTTGGGCAGTCGGGAACAAGAGAGAAAATTATGAGTGTGTATAACAGAAAAATTAAAACACTAAAATCAAGGTGGTGTAACAGTTGAATTTCCATCTATACATCACGGACATATTCTTCACTTCTGACCCTTCCAGTTGGATGATGCTAGAACATCATCACTTTTAGTTCACTGAAGTGTCACTCTCCTCCTTATGTAATATGAACCTAGGACTAATTCCGTCACAGGGATAAGACAGTACCTGGGAATATTCTAGATGTAAGTATACAATGTCTACCCTTACAGGTATATAGTGCCTCTGTGCAGAGAATAGAAATGAAGATTAAGAGATGATTCATGGCAAAGTGAATAGAAGATAATAAGGAGGTCAAGCTATTGCTGGTAAGGGAAAACCAGACTTGAATTTGCAGATATTTTCCTAAGAGATTCTTTGAGCCCTCATCCAGAAAACAATGACAGTACTGTCTGTCTACCAGGAGTTCTGTAAGTGTTAGGAATAACACAAGCAGAACACTCATTCTTAAGATGAACATAGCCAATAACAGCCATATTATTCCTATAAAACTATGCCCCAAGTCTATGAAAACAGATACACAAATACAATTCTATTTTATTAGCATTAAAACAATCACTAGGGATATTCTGTCTAGTTTTATTTTTCCGTTTGTTTTCCCTTATTCTTGCTGAAATGCCCTACAGTGATACTTACATTTAAAATATTGTATCTACACATATGAGCAAGGTGCAGTCTAGGGGGTTAAATAATGAATGCCAGGGGAAGGAGAGAAAGTTGAAATCAAGCTGATCACACTACAAACCCAAGCTTTATTTTTTTATTAACTGTGCTGTCTTCCCACTGTGTTCTTACATCAATCAGAAAAAGTCATTTTTTGATAACAAACAATCCAAAAATATCACTGTGAATCAGAAGAATGGCAGGCCTATTTTTCTAGAAGTCCTACATACAGAGTTTGTGGCAGTTAGGCTTTGTACTTTGGAAAAGTTGAATGTGTAAAGGAGAATTTCTGTTAAATGGCAGGAAAAGATAATTACAACCAGGAACACGTGGTCATAGTCTGCCCAGCATATCCCTATATTTCCGATCCTTGAATTAAAATAACCCACTGAAAATAATTTTTAGAAGTTGCCTCTGTCCTAAACATTTGTGAACATTTTCCCTTACCATTATCTCCTAAATGATACAATATAACACCCACTCAAATCAGACTTTTATATATTCAATGTGGAGGTTCCTCAAAAAGCTAGAATTAGATCTACCATATGACCCAGTTACATAACTTCTGGGCATATTCCCAAAAGACTCTATATTCAACTACAGAGACACATGTTCATCCATGTTATTTGCTGTTCCAGCCACAATAACCAGGGAATAGAAAGAGTCTAAATGTCCGTCAACTGATGAATGGATGATAAAATTATGGTCCATTTATATAATTGAATATTTTTCTGCTTAAAAATTAAATTATGAAACTTACTAGTTAGTGGGTGGAGCTGGAAATAATAATTCTCAGTGAGGTAACCTAAACCCAGAAAGATTCAATTCCTCACCTTTCTCACATCTGGATGCTATCTTTGAAATTTTAAGTGTGTTTAAATTGGCATCTATACATCATGGACATGCCTGTGGAGTAATTTGTATGTGATTTCAGGTTTACTAAAGGATATCTAAGATATACATAGCTACTCCATCATTTTATAGAAGTGACTTGAACAGCTGAGGATTCCGGTACCTCTGAACTTCTTAGAAATAATCCCCTGTCTATATTGAAGTCAAATGTAGTTCTTGAAAACTTTGGAGAGCCTTTTGTAAGGAGATCCTTGGCATCTCCAGTGCAGTGACAGCTTCATGGAGACACATTTGTGTCTAAAAAGGAAAGAAAACTTTGAGAACTCACCAAACTTAAATGGAAAGTGGTATCACCTTTGACACTTTTTTCAAGGCTTTAGCTCAATTTGAAACCTTCATTTTTGGCAAGCAGGATCAGGGCATCCTCAGTACAAAAGAGATCGGAGTTTTCTGCACACATACACATGCAACTTCTCTCAGAGTCTACACACTCATATCAGAAGTGAAGGGCAGTCATTGAACAGACTTTGTTAGGATGGCAATTTGTACAGCTTTCACATGAGAAAGAGGTGCAAATAACTGTGAGCTCTGTTCTCCATGAAATCTGCTAAGGCAACTCTAGACAATTAATAGTCAATTTTCTGTAGGACATGTATAGTAATCTTTAAAAAATTAAGAATGAATTTGGTTGTTACTCATTTAATTTAACAGGGCTTATATGAATGGGAAGAATATAAGAAAGAGTGTCTTTAATTCCAGCACTTGGGAGGCAGAGACAGGCAGATCTTTGTGAGTTCAAGGCCAGCCTGGTCTACAGAGCGAGATCTAGGACAGGCATCAAAACTACATAGAAAAACACTGTCTCAAAAAAGAAGAAAGAAAGAAAGAAAAAAAAAAAAAGAAAATGTGTGTGAGGATAGCATAATCAGAATTCATTATATACCTGTATAAAATTGTCAAACAGAACACTTAATAAAATAAATAAATAAAATGGGTTGAGATGCTGCTTAGCAGTTAAGACTGATTGGTTCTCTTCTGGAGAACTCAAATTGTGTTCACAGCTCCCATATCAGGTGGCTCCCAGCCTTATGTAACTGCAGATCCCGAGGTAGTTCTTCTTGCCTCCAGGGATACACGTAGTGTCTCCTCTTCCCCACACCCCTCCTCCACGCCATCATATATACGCATAAATATATAAATATATCAATAAAAGTTGAGATTGGAATTTCAGGGGGAAATATTTGACTTGGAATAGAAAAGAATCAATTTATTTTTTGAAGTAATGGTTCTAGGTAAATTTATAGGAAAAAAAGATACTACTTTTTAGTATTCTTGATTTTAACCCTGAAGTAAAGTAATAAAGAAAAGACATCAATTCATGTTTTCATGCAACGTGTGTTTTGTTGGAAAATTATCTTCCTGTATCTTCTCTTTTCTGAGAGCCTTCTTTTGACCAATAAAGCCTGTATTTAATAGAAAGATGATGACAACCAATGAAGAAATGCATCCAGTTATTTCCCACCCTTTACTGTCTCCTGGTGTATGATTTGTTTGGTTTGTTTTAAAGGGGGGTGAAAATTAAAGAGGGAGCTTTAAGTTGAGGATAGCCATTTATATGTTGAATATAGTGGAAAGTGAAAAACCGTTAAGGAAGCTCAGGTTACATTGTGGCTGTGACCAATGGATTAGTACACCCAGACTCATCTCATGGAGGCAATGCTATTACCTGGCACACATCACTATGAGGGAAAACAGCCAATCAATGGACATAAATCCTCCACAGCCTCTGTAATGTACTTGAAAATAGGACTGGGGACCATTGAACAAAATGGAGAAATAATAAATCAGGAAGTAGGCTCTCCAATGGAGCTATTCAGCAATATGGAAGGGTAAATTCTGTCCATTGAATTTTCAACTCAGTACCATATTTATGTTTTTATGATGTTATTCCCTGAAGTCATCAGGATATAACATCCTACCCAGAACTGGATAGTGAGAAGACACTTCCAACCTGTACCTACTACCAGCACTCATGATAGGTTGAACATGTTTTCATCATCTCTAGGCTTTATTAACTTCAACTAACATTTAAATAACATGAACGTAAAAGTTACTGTGTCTGAAAAATGCTGAGGGAAAAATAACCCCTAGTTTCCAACCCTCTAAGAAATGAAGATATTTGGGATATTTAACATAAACCTATCAGCTCACCAGAGGCATTATCCAGAGCATCTGTTCAAAGACAAGATGACATCATTGATGAAGGAAAGTTGGCAACTTGGGAGCAAGTTCCAAAGGAACACAGTGGATTTCATGTATGGCATTCCTGCAGGCACACTTCTGGGAGGATGCCACCCAGAATGACAAGAACTTCTATGCAATGCAATATTCTCCATGCAGATAGGACTCACCTGGAATTAAATGTAATCATAAGCAGACTGGAAAGATATGGTTGAGGGCAATAGAAAAGCATACAAATGGCCTGTTCAATTGTCTTGTCTTCTAGCATGTGGGACCCAGGCAAATTTAAAATTTCTTCTGTATATATTCTAATAGAGTCTGATAATATACTATTTAATATATATTATTTATATTGTTATTTAATTATTATTAAATATTATTTTCTGTTATTTCTACAAAAAAGAGTTTGTCTTTAGTAGTTTTAGATAAATGATGAAGGCTCTGAATGATCCATTTTTAAGTATCGCATAGAACAATACCACCTTTCACTGAATGTAAACAATATATACACCTATATTATAGTTTTCATAGATAATAGCAGTGTCAAAAGGAGAGGAGGTAGGACATGAGGAGACTAAAAATATGGTTTTTCATTTCATTTAAGGAGAGATATAATGAAATTTTCTTTTTGACATTTTGAAATACACAATTATTATTAACTATATTCACTGTATTGTTCAGAATAACACCAAAATTTATTCTCATCTAGTGAACTGAATCTTGGGAAATTTCCCATGTATTAGTAACTAATTTTCTATTCTCAGATTTTTACATGACCAACAGTTTTAGAGAAAAAGTGTCAAATGTATTCCAATATTATTTATACATCTATAATGTATATATTATATAATATATCCATTATATAATATATTATACAATGACAAATAACATATTTATGCAATATTCCGTATAAAATATGTTATATATCTATGTATGATTATATATTATATGTAATTATATAAATATATAGAAAATATTTATATTCATATAGTTATAATATAATTGTACGTATATAACATATATTATATAACATATTACATATATATACATATATATAATGTCTATATACATATATAACATATTATCATATTATTATATAATGTAATATTATATATAATAAAATATTATTATGATAATATAATGTACAGTATAATAAAGAATCATATATGTGTGTATATATATATACAGAGAGAGAAAAATTAGAGTTAATGTGTTCACAAAGAACAAAGAAAGATTCTTCTTGGTTATATTCTGTACCTCATCCTTTTAAGAAAACCTCTATACGTCTTCAATGAATAATATTGTAAATTAGTTTTATTTTGACAAAAATTTAACAGAAATTTAAATTAGAGGAAAACACAAGTATGTACTATGAACAAATCAAGAGGTACTTAAAATATGTCACTCACTGATTTGAAATAGCTGATTATTTCCATCAGTTTGGACTATGTACAATAGTATGGCAAAAACATTTATCAATGGAGAAATCAAAAAATGGAAAATATGAATCCTATCACAGCAATAGACTCCGTCTGTGAGGATAATGGAGAAGTCTCTACCTTCTTTAGGCAGATTCAAGCCCTTGCTGCTTAGAGATGCAAATGGAAACAAATTCCTGGGATCCCTTTTGCAGTTCAGATGTTCTGCATGCTTTCCCTCTATAATAAAACTCCTTTCTAGAATTCATTCTCTGTGAAATTTATCCATTGATGAATTTGTGAGAGGAGGGACCTAGAAGTCAATGGTCCAGGGAGACTTTGGTGGCTATTGTGCTCACCCTTGCCACTAAAGCCACACTATTATAAGATAAAAATTATCTTTCTCATTTACAGATGGCTGCTTTTCCCCTATTTTACCTGCATATAAAATGTAATTTTACACATCCAAAGCACAGACAATACAATAGAAAGAAAGAAGATAAAACATAGATCATATGGAAGAGAACAAGAGACATTAAATGTGGGAGAAATACCAAGTTGGATGTGTGAGGTACCTATAGTTTCAACACTACACTAACTGCAGCGTAGATGTACATGGCAGTGCTCATGATAAAATGTTCTCATAGGTGTGCATTCTCAATGGCTCATTGTGACGTCGCTAATGACTGTCCAAACTAGACCTAATTACCTGACCCTCTGACTTCCAAGTATACTGTCCATTCACTACACCTACTTACTAGGTGTCCTACCACTCTCCATCCCTTATGATATTCTATGCTCAAATGGTCCCCCAGTAAATTGGATAAAGCATATACAAGTGTGTCTACTTTGCCTCACTTGTTCTGAAGAGAGTAAATTACTTCCCTTTAGGGTATAGAAAAAGAAATGGAAAAAAAACTCAGTAATATCCCTTTTGGAGTTTTCATGTTAAAAGCACTGTGACATTTGAAGTTGACTTCTCCAGGGGTGTTAACAATTAGAGTGTGACAAAATGGCAAAGAATCGCCTCCGTCTTTTCCGTCTCCAAGGTATTAGTACCTCTGTATTTTAAGGAATGGACTTCTGCATTCAACAGTGACATACAGAACTCCTTAAGAGATGAATGTAATGGGTGTCATAACCTGTGTTCTTCCTATTACCAACAATTTGAATGCCAATGTGCTCTGTGCCTGTGGCTTCCTGGGGAGGCTTTTCAGCACTCAGACTTCTGACTATTTATGGTTATTATTATTGTGTTTCTCCCCAACACTGTTCATGAGCTTTGTGCCTGCAGGTGACTGAATGACATACATTTGTGAGATAGTTACTTTATGCTCCTCAAAGTAAGAATGTGAATGTAATTTCTAACAAAAAGATGGTTCCCTCTTCTTTTTTTCAAGATTAAATTAAAAACAAGAAAGAAAGGGGAAAAGTAAGGAAGAAAAGAAAGAGAGAGAGAGAAAATGAAGAGAGGGAAGGATGGAAGGGGCAACCTAAGCTTATAATGCATAGCTCCTAGCTCCTAAAGTATTGGACCCTACCATATTCTAAGCTCTTCTGCCCACTCCACACATGACACTCAGGGTCAACCAGTCCTAGCAAGATATATGCATATATGGGTCAGAGTGCTTCAACTTGGGTCTCCTTTTGGATGAAAGTCTCTTCTTGAACCATTTAGTTATGTAGGAGTATGTCAGTGTTCAAACCCAGCATGAGTCTCAGCATTCCCTGAGCTTCCCACCATCTTTCCAGGACAGAATAACTGATTTTCATTATGTATTATTTCAGCAACTTGGACAGTTACCCAGAGAAACAGGCTGTAGAAAAGCCACTAGACATAAAAAAAAATCTTTTCCACAGTTCAACTCTAGATATTTTAGTAATTTATCAGAACTATGTTTTAAGGGAAAAATAGCCTAAAAGATACACAAAAGAAAACCATGGGGGTATGGGGATTCTGACTGAAGCTTTTCTGAGATGTGACGTTTGCCAACAGAGAGAACATCCTTCTTTCATATGACAGTATTTTGGGTTACAACAACAATGAACTAGACTTAAGGTCTGAACATATATGACCTTGGGAAGGACCTCATTCTTTGTCCTTTTCCCCTGACATTGTCTGGGATTCTCAAATAAGACTACTAGTTTTATTTACACTAATGATATCCTACATTTTTACATTAGAGAGTCTTACCTAGTCAGTTATAGACCTGTCAGGAGTCCTTGGGGAATTCTTGTGTGATCACATTTAGATTTCTCAGCCTCAAAAGCCCACCTAACACCTAAGATTGCTATAAACATAATGACACGTGACTCTCTATTTCTCTCTCTCTCTCTCTCTCTCTCTCTCTCTCTCTCTCTCTCTCAGATAATTCCACACCCAGAATTCAGGTTTGGCTTATCTTGAATCCTTCACTTAAGCCCATGTTACAAATGTATTTCCAATAAACCCTAACTGTGTTTCACACTGGCTGTCTCTTTGGATTCTTATTTGCCTATCAGCCAAGGATCTGATTTTATCAGAATGGAGGTTACAAGAAGATTAAAGGTCATGACTGTGGAGCTGTGTCTCCCTCCCAATCACTGCTGACACAGTGAATAGGAATATAGTCTCGTGTATGTTCAGAAGTGAAGCAAATTCTCATAAACGTTACTCTGCTAATATCATTCTAACATTGTAAAATGGGCTGAGGAAATGGGTCAGTGGGTAAAGGTGCATGCTACAAGTGTGATAACATGTTCAGTCCTTGTGCACACCTTAGTAAGTGAGCCGCTATACACTTACACCTACACACACACACACACACACACACACACACACACACAAATATAAGTAAAACATTTAGAAAATGATAGTGTATGGTGGTATTTTATTTGTATTGAAATGTGATTTGAATTGTATGTTAATAAATAAAGTTGCCCAGGTGTCCGAGCTATTAGAGCCATAGCAAGAGCGTGGCGGTGGTGACACACGCCTTTAATCTCGATACCATAAAAGACCTGGAAGTCTCTACAGACAGGCAGTAACGAGGCAGTCATGTGTTTGGGTTTACAGCCAATGAGAAGGCAGAACAGAAAGACTATATAAAGACAAACACACAGGAATTTGGTCTTTTTCGGAGAGGTAGGACCACTGCAGGAGGAAGGGTAAGGTTTTAGCTCTGAGCTCTGACCTCTTGGCTTTCTTCTTTACATTGGTTCTGTGTTTCTTATTTAATAAGACGGTTGGTTACATCTACATTAAATGCTTTTAGTTTTTGTTAAGTGTTACCTGGGTCTTGGTGTCTTTTCTTCACAGCATAGAACAATGACCAAAACAGAGTCCAACTATAGATACAAAGCAAAATAGTTTTGTCCTTGCTTTTACATCTCAGTATGTTTTTTAAACAATCCAGGACCATGAGCCCAGAAGTGCTCTGGCCCCCACTACAGTGGACTAGGTCCTCTTACATCACTCAAGAAAATGCTCTGTAGATATTCTCAAGTCAATTTAAGGGAAGTGATTTCTCATTGAATTCCTCTCTTTTGACATGACTCTAGCTTGTTTAAAGTGAACAAAACAAAACAACAAAACCCTAGTCAATGCACACGCCCTTTCTCAAGCCTGATCGATTTTTCTAGGTGGCCATTACTTCTAGCTGCCATATTCCTTCCTTCACTTGTGTTGCTCTCTCTGTTAAGACCTGAAGTTATAAAAACCCCTGGCTCCTCTTCTCTGTGTTCCTGCAGTTCTGAAGGATGATGAGTAATTCTTCATATTACAGCCTGTTTTACATCAGAATTCACCTTTCACATTTCCATTCTTTAAAACTCAACTAACCAAATAGCCTAGGTTGATTTTGTTAAAGCAAACGTTGCTGCTGGCCGACACTTTAACTGGAGCCAGATTTTTATGAGCAATTTTCTGAAAACTTGTATCAGCATTTCCCAACAAAGCAATATTCTTAGTAAGCTAACCATCCCATTTCATTTACTATGATTTGGTTAGGATGCACATAAAGTTCATAGGTTTGTCCAAGTAATGTGAATTAAACTGTATGTTGTGAATTAAATTGTATGATGCAGGGCTGGGGAGATGACTCAGAGGACACAGAGCTTGCTGCACACAGTGAGGGGCAGAGTTTGAATCTTTAAAACCCATATAAGAACCAGTATGTGTAGCATTAGAGACAGAGGATCCCTTAAGTATTTGGCTAGCCAGTCCGGCCAGAAACCATGACTTTGGGTTCAGCCAAAGATCCCAACAGCTGACACCAACTGTGTGTGCATAGATTAACAGGTACACGTATACGTATACTACACATATGCACATGGAAAATAAAGATATGCATGTTTACATATATGTATACATATGTACATGATCCAGTGGTCAAAAGCTGTCTTTCTGTCTCCCATATATACATTTACAAAAGTTAGAGGTATCTGAACTATAAAGTGTTGCAGTAAAGACAATGTCAAGATGCCCTTCATAAGCACACATAATAATTACAAAAGATAATTTCAGCATGGGAAAAAGTAGTTTTCAAATTCAATTGAATTTTTGGAAAACATATACTTTGGAAAAATCATTTTTAAATTCATCTAAATGATCTCTAATGGCTAACCTGTAAGGAAGTCATGTAAATTCTTCCGTTTTCTCCCATATCTGTTAGGAGACTTAAGGACTTAATAAGTAGAAATACACACACAAATTAACTTAGAAGCATTTAGCAAATTGCAACACTGAGAACAATGATTACAAAACTGAGATCTCTAAAATTTTTTCATTACCAAAGCAAAGGATGAGAAGAGAAAATGGAGAGAACACCCAATCACAGATTGAAATTTAATTACTTTGAGCTTGCATATCTAAGATTTAGAATATTGTAGCTTGAATAGGACACCATAGGATGAGCTTCCACTTTTAATTGGATATAGATTCTGAGTAATAAAGAGATGAAATTAATAAGGCCTGCCATTTTACTGCATTTCAATATGGAAGAATAATGTATGGATGCAAGGACTTCATAAGGTATTTCTCAGAAAAAAAAATAGATCATGCACAGAAATTCTTTACCTATGCACCAATTTAGCCTACATTATTTATGAAAAATCTACATGACTACGAGTGAAATACGGACTAGTCAACATTTGGTAAAATTTGTTCTGGTATTTTCCAGCATCTCTGAGCAGAGATAATTAGATTTTAAATTAAAAACTATTTTAGGCAGTCAATTGAAAGCATCATAAAATTCAATATCTGCTAATTATTAATGCAGCTCCAGAGAACTCCAGCACTTATACACAAACAATGGAGTGTAATAAGCACATATTATTACAACATGTTAAAGCTATGTTCTTTTAAAGAAACACAGGAGTAAAATGACATTAAACCCAACCTAGGATATTGACAGTTCATATACAGTGAAACATCATTTTGTGTTTCATTCTTACATATTTACCATATTTTTAATGTATTGTCTATGCATTTGTCTTTTTAAATTTTAGAGTACCTTATGAATAGAATTGTTACATAGACCCAAGAACTTAACGAAAGTAATAAAGGGTAAGTTTTAAAATATGATTGGCTTCCCTAAGTAGTAGTACTGTTTCCTGATTTGAAAAATTAATTTTAG